AACAACATACAAGGACATATGTTGAAATAAACTTGTTTGAAAGTTCAAAGATATGATATTCAAGTACCAAAAACTTTCTTACTGTCATATCTACAGTAATGTTGGAAAGCGGCTGCGCTGGAATGAACGATAGTGACCATCAACAGGCATGATAGTTTATGGCAAATGTACAAAGTTCACGCTGCTGACCTCATGATTTATTTGGCATAATAAACAAAAGTATGACTGCAATGAAACATAAGCTTGAAATAAAAACACATTTATGAAACAAAATTAAAATGTTTTTTTATGTACATATATAAACATGAAATCTGAGTTAAAAATACTCATTTATTGTTTAGGTTTACTTAGAAATATTAGTGATTATTAAAAAAATTAGAAATAGATAAAATTTGCATTTTATGGAGGATACAATTTTTGGGGAATTTCAAAATAATGTATTAAAACATTAAAAGTAATAAGTTCAAATCTGTAGCAAATATAAATATTGTAATCATTTCTTATAAATACGTTGCATTATGATCTTTAATATCTTGGAAAATTACATTAGGAAATAAAACCTAAATTTATTAAAAGTAACAGGCTTTATGTTTCTTAAACTACGTGCTTTTATAAAAGTTCTTATGAAGTTTCAAACAATTTCATCCACTAGTTTTATTGTTGGAATGAAATATAGCAAGACTTGCATTGGCTGCTCAGAAAGTTAGTAGCTGGTGGTCATTGGGTTAATAATGGGTTTCTGCATCTAGTTCACTGTATTAAAAAAAAAGCATGTAGACTTCATTCTTTATTGAGATTTTGTGTGAATACAGAAGCATCAGTTGTCTATACAAAAGACTGAAGTTGCAGAGCTTCATAACTCAGTTACTTCTTATGTTTGAAAGCAGAATAGTAGACTTTTCAAAAATTGTAGCTGTTAAGGTATGGTAATTGAAACTTCTTTTTGCTTTAGAATCAGTCAAGACAAGATCAACTTCAAGATGAAGATACAAGAAGCTTCCACTCTCTTCCTTCAAATGGAGCTATGGTCACAACATCATTGGTAAAGTTTTGTTCAACATCAACAATGAGAACTATTAAGATATAATATTTTTGGCAAATTGGATTAACTCTTTCCATATGGGCTTGGTCGAATCAGTATGGATTAAAACCTTAGCTTTCTATTTGTTATAGATAATATAGAGAGTGTAAGAGATGGGCATAGCAAGTGGGTCTATTTTATGGCTCTGTAATGATATATGACTGAAGGATATAAACATTATACTTTGCCTGAGGTATAACAACATTATAATGAGTAGTTTACATTAAATATCATACGTCTTAGAGGAATGGTAAATTAGAGAAGAGGGGATCCCTAGAGAGCAGATGTCACAATTCTCAAAAAAGGGAAATTAAGGATTTTTTTTTAACATTACCTTATAAAATTAAGAACTTAAAATATATGTAATGTTAAAATTTGGATTATTAGCTATGTTTTATGCCAATTTTATTTATATACCATGATAAGAAAGTAGTTAAGTTAAATTTTAAATGTAACTCAGTAAATCCGTCTGACATGCACACAAAATGATTCCCCTTCGGAAAGGGTTAAACATGATTAACCCTAAAACATAATGTTAACTCTAGTAATTTTGACAGTAACAAATGTTAAAACTATAAGGATATTTTTTTTAGTAATAACTTTTTTCTCAGGTCCTTTTGAGTGATATCAGTAAATATATTTTGGTGCATGCCCATCAAAACTTGAACATCTGCTCTTATTAAAGTAATCAGTAAATTTTGAATTAATCTGAAAAATAGTTTGGAAAAATTAAAAATTGGTGATGACAAATTATTTTATTTGTTGTTGTCTGTATTGCATGAACCCATGTAGATACTTAGGATGTATATAAAGTAAAAACATATATTGTTAACAGAACATCAGCCAAAAATTATTGATCAACTAACATGACTAGCAGTATGGTTTAATAATTTTGGCTTGTCTATTTGAAAATAGTTCAAACATTATAATAATTTCTTTATTTTGCCTTTTTTTCAAATGTGTTACAACTGTATGCTGAAAATCTTACTGAAAAACTTGTCTAACATGTTTTCACATTGTTATTTTAGTGACCAAGGTATTCTTAGTTTTGTTTGCTTCTGTCAATGAATATTGTTCAGGATTACCGTTATTACAAAACAGAGAATATCTATTAATGTTGCTGGATTTTTTTTTTTGACAATTCACACATTTTGTTGCTTTAACTTACAAAATGTGTCGTATATTGTTAAGATCATAATTGATATCAGTATTTGTCATTATTAGCCTTTATATCATATCACGTTAAAAAGTGTTTAACAGAACACATTGTACATATGACTAAAGCATCTGTGGCATTTTTTTGTAATTTTATGCTCTATAATGTATCAAAGAAAATTCAGAATATATCAAAAACTTCTAAAGTATTAAAAATATTTATAAAGCACCTTAAAAGTTCCTCAGTACTTGTTTATATCAAAACAAACAATTCTATTAAAAGTTTTTGAAAGAACCTATGTGTGGCTTGTAAAGTTTATTGCGACAGATAACAGAATGTTTCATTATAATCCTGTATTTATCTAAGTATTTTCTATATATTTAATTATGGATACTTTCTCACACAACAAATTAGAAGGTTGAAGATCAAGATAAAGTTTCGGCTGAGCTTCCAAGCATCATCAAACCATTTCCAGTAGTTGAAGATGATAATAGTCCAGTTCACCTAAGAGAACCCAAGCCACATATCTCCGACTCGTTTACAAATACCACCCTATTTTCTGTACACCAGACAAGCACGGTAATTCTTTACTACACTGTATTTGTGTTAGGAAATAGTTAGCAATGAAAATTTCTGTGATCTTTTAGCTGCCTACTATTGTTTGTATAGAAGTATCTTTTCTCACCGAGAAAGTAAAAACTCAGTAGCTTCAGTTTATATGACTCTTTTAAAGGTTACATGATCTTGATCTAGTAGATTGTTCCTGGTGTTACATAAGTAGCCTCTTGGATTCTTCAACATTAATGTCTTTTTTTAGTTCTTGTCACTGATCTAGCTGTTGATCTGTATATTTTATGCTTTTGTTATTATCAGTATTATCTGACACGATTATATCAAACCCTGTATAACAACTTTAAACTTGATAATGGACCATAAACTAGTTTATGCCTTTTTATAATATGAAAGTTTTGTCTTTAGTACAATAGCCAGGCATGTAAAAGCTCACAATTTCATCAAGAACTTTTCTCAATTTTTAAAAAGATAGTTTTTTTTTCACGCATTGTCCTGTATTGATATTTATCTTACAAGAACAATCATTACTCTAAAAAAAAACATTTAAAGTTATAGTATTTTTATTGTATCATATTAAAAAGCTTATTTTTTTTTAGACTATTCAACAGTTAGTTACACGTGGGTAAAAATGTATGTAAATCTATGAAATTACTGCACCAGTCACTTATTTTATATCACTGTTTAATATATGGTATTCAACATAAAAGTGTTCACAGTTTATTGTTCTTTGAGTGAGTTTGTTTTATTGTTTTACAAGTCAATTTAATTTGGGATATAACTTGCCTAATTTTTTTCAGTATGAAAAAAGTTTTCTTTGAGCACATGTTTACAGTGACATCATCAACACTTGCATGATGTCATAATTATTTTATGAATTTTGTCAGTGTCTTTCTAGACTAACCTGTGCAGAATATATGAGGATGTGTTTTCTGAATTGTCTGTAGAAACTCAGCTGATATTTTATGTATCAGCTTATTGGTGTGTTGTTTTTTGCCAAAAATGAAAACAAAAGCTATTGTGATGGTACATATGTTCTTCATTTTTGAATTAACAAATTTTTAAGTATTTCAATTGTTTAACACAATTTGTTTAGTTTCTAACTGGGTGTAGAATAGTTGTCTTACAAATGTACATGTTATATTTTTAATGGATTTCCAAATTTAATTTTAAAATTATTAGTTTTCTGTTTGTTTTTTCAAATAAATGAAGTAATCATATAGCAGCAAAGACTATAAAGTAATTAAATGTATGCTTTGGTTTTGGTGTAACGCTTGTGACAACAATGGTAAAGTAGTTTCTGCCAACTTTAGTACTGTATTTTCTTTTTGTTCTTTTTTTAGATCAGAAGTGACCAAGTTATCCTAATCAATAATTTAGTTTAAATATTCAAGTTTTCTATCGTGTATCAGAAAGTAATACTTTTCTGTCTATAAATTGTTTTTAGCCTTTAGGATGCAAGAATCCCCCCACCCACACTTCATACCCTCCCATCCCACCTAAACCTCTCATTCTAGACACCAGTGGTTTGAACAGTAGCAACAACAGTTCGCCAGTTGTTGATCCCATTGGATTCTCTAGGCTGCCTGGTGCCAAACCTCCTATAGCTCCACGTCCAAAGGTTATTTCATTTTTGTGTATTATCATGATTTTAAATCTATATAGGCTGATTTGTTAACAGTTGTCTAGATTGATGTAATATATATATATATATATGTTTTGTATTTTTATATTCTTGTCTGAATGTGGAAACAAAATGTAGTTAATTTTATATCAAGCCTAAAATGCATACAAAAACATTACTAGATGAAATATTTTATTGATGTTTGTTGCAAATTTCTATATTACTTCCAAAACCAAATAATATCATTATTAGTTATCTCATTCATTACAAAACAGAAATAAACAAATACTAGTGATTTGCATGCAACATTACAGTTTAAAGTTCTGGCTTGAAAACATGCTGCTAGTTCCAGAAGTTTGATGTAGATATTTAGTATAACAACAAGATTTTGATAGATATAGGTATCAGTTAGGTTGATTATCTTCTGAAATTATATATTAACCCTAGAACTACTGATGAGAGTTGGGGTTGAATATATTTTTATAAACTATTTAAGCAAGAAATTGTTTATGGGTCCACTGATTTGTTGGTTAGATCAGTCATGCAAAAATATTTAAATAAATATACCCTCAAAATTGCAATTAATCCTGTTAATTACTTCTAGGGTCTATTATGTATTTTACAAAGAAAGAGTGATTTTACCCATTTTATTTTATTTTTTGTCAATGTTATAACAGACATAAAACATAAAATTACTGAACAGAATGTAATATTTTGACCTCACGTGTATAAAAACATCTTAGTAATTTGAGTGTTAAAACATGTTCATATGTAAATTTCATTCAACAAAATATGAGTTTTTTAAGTACATAATATTTGTAGTATATTAAATTATTTCTATCACATAAAAAAGATATTTTGTTAGCTCTTATGTAATCTAATAGTTATGATAATGAAGTGAATGTTCAAGATCAACTTGATTAATGTTGAAAAAATAAAGGTAAAACTCGCTATTTTGAAATGCCAGAAGCACCTTAAATTTGGTTCCAATACTATATGTAGATGATTATTAATATGTCTCGGACCAAGGAAAACAGTATGACTTCCAAATCATATGGCATAAGTCCTGAAACTGAACATTTTTTAAACCAACTCAAATATTGCTATGCACTTTGATGTTGAAAGTGAAATCTATTTAAAATGAAATAAAACAAGCCTTTCTAGATCTATAGAAGGAAAAACATATCTAGTGAACAGTTCAATGAGCAGAAAAAGCTAGTTATATAGGTTTTGAATTTTAGATGATAATGTATAGGTTTGATAGCATTCTTTTTTTTCTTTTTTAATTTTCTTTTCACTGATGTATGAATGTTTAGAATTTGGAAAAAAAGTGAATGATGGAAATCCAGAAAGACTGACTTTTAGTGAGAAGAAGCGACGATTTGAGCAAGATACAAAACCCACTTCAAGCTCTGAGAAAAAACACTTTAGTTATCTTTCGGAAGATGAGATTAGTAAAATGCAAGAAGAAGAAGGTAGGTCTAATGTGATCATTAGACAAATATCTAGATATCTGTTCTGTTACATTTTCAGTTGAATAATATTTTCAATATCAGACTATACCTTAGGTGACTTCCCTTCTCCAAAAATGAAGCAGACAAATCTTTAAAAAAATTTTTCATTATTAAGAAGACTCAATTTTTTGTTTTTTTATATATTTTTACCACTAAGATGAAATAAATGTTTTGTAATTAGTACAGTCTTAAGTTAAAGCTTGTGTACTCTCATAAGTATCAAGGAATGTGATGTCGTTAGGCCTACTTTAGTGTATGTATAAAAACTGGCTTTCAAGTCGATAGTTATGTAGATCATGTGTAGTGGTGTAGTAAATAGTTATGTTATGTAGTGGTTTTTATTGTATTATAAATTTATCGAGAAATTACTTTCGTATTTTAAAAGGTAGTGTGTGGTTTTATGTAGGAAAAATTTAAGCGTTCCTAATTATTATGCTGTGTTTTTGAAGTGTGTTTCAGATAGGAGTTATTAATTTTTATTATGAAAATTTCATAGGTGACATTATACTCACCACCAAGCTGGAAAATATTAAGGGAATTTCTAGCTAAATTTTTAAAATGTTGAAATAGATTTGAAAGAGTGTTGATGATTAAAGTGTCCAATTTTTTATTTTATACTAGAAATTAGGTGCCTGTGCTTCATTTTTGTTAGCTTAGAAAAGCATGTGTAACTTATATAAATATCAGGTTTTTTTGTTACATCTTTTCTATTCCAACTAACTTGAAAGTTGATTTTTAAGTTAAAACTCTGAAGGATATTGTTTGATTACATTATTTTTTCCTGTATAAAAGCATTTGCTACCACTGTTGGAGGATAGCCTTAAAATGCTTCTCTGAATGCTAATATGCCAAACACTGAAGGCAGAATACCTTCATTAATACACCCCCTTTCCAAAAAACTAGATCTGCCTTTGAAAGAAGGCAATGTAAATCAACACATTAGCTCTTGAAATAAGTAAAACTGAATTTGTTTTTTAACAGAGAGAAAAATGGCCTCCATGACTACGGATCAGCTTCACTCCTTCCACTTGCTGGAAGATGAGGAAGAAGATGAAGATGAGGAGGACACAAGACGTATGAACAGTTATGGACCAGATGAGGTCGACAGGTGAGAAAACATTTTGTGTACAAACCTGATTTCAGAATAATTGCTATTATAAGATCAGTGTGTTTATAGCCACATAAGTAGCTCTCATAGGTCAAACAAGGAGTTTTGTGTTTAAAGTATGTTGTGACAGAAATTGATATTAAGATATAAGTTTCACTGTATAGGCTTCACAATGTTTTCGAAATTGAATTTTTTCAAAAATATGCATATAACATTTGTAGGATGTGGTTGTTACAAGTATAATGCTTTATTTCATTTGTTCATTTTGAAGAATTCTTATTGAAAACAGTGTTTACGAAATTTAAGTTGTCAATCTCAGCCACACATAGGGAAACTACCATATATTTCTTTTCATTTATAATTTATGTATGTGTATGCAAACACACAGTATTAACATGGTGCTTTGATCTAACCATGTACCACTTCTATATCATGTTTAACATCTTGTAGTTACCAAACCATATCACACTTAATGTGTACTTAAGTTTTTACAGGGCTTATTCTGTTGGTGGTTATTTTAAAGACTGAAAATATTTATAAATGAGGTTTAACTGGTCATTGTACCATATGTAAGATGTGGTGTAGCTTTAATGCACAGTATTATCTTGTTTGAATATAACTGCTTGATGACTAACAAGATCTGTTTATGAAGAGGCTTAACTCTTTCAGCATGGGCTCATTCCCTGGGATCAACCTTGTAAACATTGTGCTTTTTATAGTTTTCATGCTATAACTTTTAAATTACTAAGCATGTGTTAACGAAATTTGGCAGATTATCAGTAAACATTACAATGCTTTCACATGCAAAATAAAAATTTTTTTATTAAGTCTTAAGGTTTGTTAAGCAATATTTTCTCATGTCCTTTTTTTTTTCTTTTTGCTATGTTGCCTATCCAACATGCAAAGTAATTTTCATTTTAAGATTAAAAATACTTTTGTGCATCAGTAAAATTTTCAAATTTCACAT